ACACTACGACACACACACACACACACAAACACACACACACACACACAGCCACACACACACACACACACACACACACACACACACACGTACTTTACACAAGCACACACACACACACACACACATACACACAGCCCTGACGGCCAAAGTGTTCAGGACCTACAACACCTCCAACACCCTGCAGCAGCAGCCAAAGCTACTCACCAACAGTACGTAATCATATACTCTCAAACACATACACACATAGTCATAGGGACTTCTCTCCGTAGTACATATTCTTGCATGCCTTTTTTTTAGTTTGAATTGCAGCATCAAGTGTTTGGATGTAGATTTGGGTTTCTAAAATGTTCTCCCCTTTTTCTCTGACATTGTTTTCCTGTCCTTTTCTGCAACTTTATTTATTTGTACTACTTCACAACCTGTCATGTCTCTTATGTCTTTTCCCTTCCCATCATTACATGTTTTGTATGTTTGTTTTCCCCTTCTCCTTCTCCCCCCGTTCCATGGCGCGATGTCCAGCCATGACAGGTGAACAGCATTTCCTGCAGTCACACCACAGGAGGGATGTGTGCAGGCCCAGCTGGCATGCCCTCCCCGACATTTGCCCTCGTTAAAAATCGTGAAAAATTGCCCAGGCTTTCAGAAATGTGCTGAGGTCCTGCAGCTTTTGGGCATGTTTCAGCTCTGATATTCCCCCTGCTGTATGACAGCCTGTCCTCCCTGCTTCAGGCTTCTGCGCTGCCGGCTGATGGAACATAGTCTTTACAAAGTGCTGTTCAGTTCTCAGGCAATATTGCACTGCGTAGGAAAGTCAGCTTTCCCCGCACGCTGTATCATAGCTGTTTACATGACATTTTGGCGATGCTTTGAAGTAAGGTAATGTTCGATGCAATATTGTGAAAAAATTTGGAGAATTTTTTATGGAGCTAACTAAAGTCAGAGGGTCTGAGCTGTCCTCTACTTTTCTGCTGTTTATTCCATAAAGTTGGCCTTTCTGTGCTGCTGTCTACAGTGTTTGCTGCTGTCTGCAGTGTTTTCTGCTTTGGTTTGTACTGTAAGATAATCCTGCCTTCTCCCCCCAGGCGAGGACTCCGTTGCCGCCAAGATCCTGTCGTACAACCGGGCGAACCGCGCCGTGGCCATCCTCTGTAACCATCAGCGCTCCGTCCCCAAAACCTTCGAGAAGTCCATGAGCAACCTGCAGGCCAAGGTAAGCAGCCAACTGCCAGGAAATTAGGGGTAGAGGTTAGAGGTCATGAACTGTGTTCTGTCAGGAGATAAGGTTAGAGGTCATGAACCATGTGTTCTGCCAGGAGATAAGGGTAGAGGTTAGAGGTCATGAACATGTTAACCAGCTGACCATGTAAGTAAGGAGACAACTGTACATGTCTGCCATGTATTGGGTCATGGTTAAGATGTCATGAACATGTAAGGAGACAACTGTGCATGTCCTGCCATAGAGTGGGTCATAGGTAAGAGGTCATGAACATGTTCTTGTTGTCTTCATTGCAGATTGACAAGAAGAAGGAAGACATAAAGAAGTCCAGGAAGGAGTACAAGGGCCTGAAGGCCGACTACAAGCACAAGCGGGACGCCAAGACAGCAGGGTACGTAACAATGCCTTCAGGTGTTTACGGCAGGGTACGTACGGCTTCCTTTAGGTGTCGACAGCTGAGACATTTTCCTGAAAAGGAAAACAATTTTGTGGTCAACAGGTGTTCCTCATTTCCAGGGTGTTAGGGTGGAGTGCTTTTGATCAGTAATTTGGAGTCTTGTTCTCCCCAGGATGTTGGTTACAGCATTTTACCTCCATGGTAACTTAGAGTAAGGGTGGAGTGCTTTTGATTGACAATCTGGAGTCTTGTTTTTCCTGGGATGTTCGTTAGAGTTAGGGTAAGGGTAGAACTTGTTTTTAGACACAAATTATAAGCCTTCTGTTGGTTAGAGATAGGTTGGAGTGTTTTTAGATCCCAATTAGTCTTGTCTCTCCCAGGATGTTGTTCACAGTTAGGGTGGAGTGATTGTAGATCCTGATGATAATGCTGACTCTTGTGTCCCCCAGGATGTTGTTTGTGAGTTAGGGTTAGGGTTAGTGTTATCAGTTCCTGATGATAAAGAGTCTTGTCTCCCCCAGGATGTTGGTTAGAGTTAGGGTAAGGTTGGAGTGTTTTGAAGATCCCAGTGTTCACCCCGAGTCTTGTCTCTCCCCAGGATGTTGGTTAGAGTTAGGGTTAGGGTGGAGTGTTTATAGATCCTGATGATAAGAAGATGATAATGATGATGATAATCCTTTCCTCTTGTCCCCTTCAGGATGTTGGTTAGGGTTAGGGTTAGGGTGGAGTGTGTGATGATAAGAAGATGATGATGATGATAATCCTTTCCTCTTGTCCCCTTCAGGATGTTGGAGCGAAAGAAGAAGCAGATGGAGCGTCTGGAGGAGCAGCTCATGAAGCTGGAGGTGCAGGCTACTGACAAGGTAACACCCCCGTTATAAGTGGTACAGGCCACTGACAAGGTAACCCCCGTTATAAGTGGTACAGGCTACTGACAAGGTAACCCCCGTTATAAGTGGTACAGGCTACTGACAAGGTAACACCCCTGTTATAAGTGGTACAGGCCACTGACAAGGTAACACCCCCGTTATGAGTGGTATAGGCCATTGAAACCCCTGTTAGAAAATGGTATCATCCACTGTAACGCCCCAGCATTAGGTGTTGTTTGGGTTTGGGTGTGTGGATGATAATGGTTACAGTCCAGGCTGAATACAGTGTTTAGTCTGTTTAGAGTTACAAATTGTATTTGCTCACAGTGGAGAAATCTGATGTACGTTTGTTTGTCCTTCCCTCTACAGGAGGAGAACAAAGAGATCGCTCTCGGCACCTCCAAGCTGAACTACCTGGACCCTCGCATCTCTGTGGCCTGGTGAGTAAACAAACAAACAAACAAACACTTCTACCCCATAACCTGGACCCTCACATCTCTGTGGCCTGGTGAGTAAAACAAACAAACAATTTCATCTGCCTCATAGGCACACACACACACATTTACCCAGACCTAAGCATTGCCAAATTTGCCAGTGTTGCCAGATCATCCTATTCATGCAGTTTCTACCCACACACCCTAACACCTGTCCCCCCCCGCTCAGGTGTAAGAAGTGGGAGGTTCCAGTGGAGAAGATCTACAACAAGACGCAGCGGGAGAAGTTTGCCTGGGCCATCGACATGGCTGACGAGACGTTCGAGTTCTAACATCCAACCAGACCTTCGAGTTCTAACCCGATTCTCAAGACTCCGAACAAGGAGGCTGCTCTCTTCTCAACAACAAGACTGTTAGACATGAACTTTTGAAACCACCAACTCTGTACATCTCTGTGGTTACAACTTAGAGCTTTTATGTCAGGTGTTCCCATAGTTACTATATGTCAGATGCAGCCATGGTTTCCCAGTGTAACCATGGTTACATGCATGATTCAGTAACCATAGTTACTTATGGGCCATCCATGGTTACAGGTAAGACACAGTAACCATGGTTACAGATAAGATGCAGTAACCATGGTTACAAGTAATACATTCTCGTAGTAACCATGGTTGCAGGTAAGACACAGTAACCATGGTTACAGTTGAGACAGTAACCATGGTTACACGTGAGACAGTAACCATGGTTACAGGTAAGACAGTGAGGTGAGACACAGTAACCATGGTTACAGGTGAGACAGTTACCATGGTTACATGTGAGACATGGTAACTATGGTTACAAGGCATCAAATTGAATGTAACTGATTATTCAGATCTGCCCTTCTTGTCTATCAACTTGGTATGAAATATTAACTACTAATTAGCATAGATTAGCATGGAGAAGTGATGAGTCTCCTGCAGTGGGCAGACTGTCCGACTGGGCTGTTTGTTTGTGCCTCGCGTCGACTGATTTTACTGTGAAGTGTAGGATAGAAGTCGTCTCTTGTTGAATTCTATGAAACTGGTAGAAGTCNGTACAGCAGACGGAGAGTCTGGTGAACACATGCCTGCAACTGCTAAAACTGTGTAACCCTACTGACATTTCTGGCTGAGTGCTGTCCTGTGAGGTTGTAACAGACTTTAGGTAGATAACCACACCTTGCCTTCCCCTGACAGTCAGCCTGCAACACACCTGTCTGTCCCTGAGCCAGTAGCTACTGTGGCACCAAACTCTGGTCAGATGGTGTTATAGTAAGATTTCTTCATTACTTTAGAACCATGTTGTTAATGTAATGGGTTGAGTTAGTGACTGACCGGCCAAACCTCAGCAGGTCGTACCAAATGGAACACGCGTACTGTTTAAGTGTTGCTGCTGGGACATGCTTCACCAGTAGTTCTCAGAGTGCATCGTGACATGTTGCTTTTCCCCTAATGTTTTTCCTGTAGGCATATAGACTGTAAACGTTGCCAACATGTACAGGGATCAACTAATACTAGTACCTGCTGCTGAGGCCACCAAAGCCTGCTCTTTAGCTGTACCATTTTTGTTCTCCCCACCGTGGAAAGTAGAATATTCTCAATGAACTTGCCGACAATTTGCTGCTGTACTAAATGTACAACGTAGCAAACCGAGTTTTTCTGTACCTGCAGGAAGTGGTTTAGTGTGAAGGACTGGTTAGACCGTTAGTACTAGTCTGTGTCTCAAACGTAGGGATTTTTATTTGCTGCAGAAGCCTTTGTATAGGAGACTGCTGCTAGTCTTGTGGCCACACCAAAGATTTTCCCAACTTCTCGTCTCAACAGAAATGAATCGATATTGTGCTGAGGGCAGCTACAGGGCAGGGGGCAGCCTTGTGGACAGTTCTGGGTTTTACTCTTCACAAGGCTGCCCCCCTCCCCCATGGAGCTGCCTGTACAAGCCTTGATTACTCAGACACTATATCAGCTGCAAGTCCTTTTTTTAATCAGATTATGATTGGTGTGGCCTGTCTTTTAATTTGAGTGTTTTAATCTGGTGTAGCTGTGAGAAATGGTCCATGAGAGCTGGAGTGATGTTAGTCTTTAGATAAATGGGTTCTGTTGCTGTACAGTTCTTCATTCTGCTGACTTGGCCAGAGAAGCTGCGGGCAGGGCGCTGACCTGGAATAACCCCAACCTAAAAACATCCCTCGCCCTGCCTGCTGTTTCAGGTGGCCCAGGAAACCATAGCAACCGTGCATCTTCATAGGTAACCATAGTAACAGCATTCTGTGTCATATAGCTGGTGACCATAGTAATGACATACCTCCAGATATACAACACGTAACTGTGGAAGACTTCACACCAGTTTTTTTTCTAATAAATACGGACCAACTAGAAGTCTTGCTGTTGTGATTATTTACCAGTGAATATTGTAGCAGAATCTGGTGTTCTTCAGTTCCAGATTTTTTTCTATTTCTGTCAGCTTAGAATGGGGAGTATCTAGTACATGTATATAGGGGTATATACATGTTTTTTAAGGTGACTGCATAACTCACCAAAACCTAACCCTGAGTAAAGATGCACAGACATTCTGCACTGTCATCATAGTTTGACAACAAACAAAAGTTAAGGTTTGTAAACTGTCGGGAAGAAAAGTTTTCAGTCAAGAGTAGGAAAGCTTGAACATCTCTGCACAATGTGACGTTTATTTTGTATGCTCTACAGATGAGGTATATGTATTACTGCATGACCACTTGGTTACCATCTGTACTACACAAACTACAGCTTACAGAAACCTCTGGGAACACTGACTCCACATGACTGTGCTAACAGGCAGCCCAGCATTTCCTGTATCTTAGTGACAGGATCCATTAACCATGCAGGATTGACCAGGGGAGTTATTCATGTATAGATTCACATTCACTTTGCAGAAGACAGTCAAAACTAGAAAAACTCCCAAACAAATAAAGACCAAGCTTTACAGCCATCTTCTTCATCCTATACTTTTGCCCTGCACTAGGTCATCAACAAGGTTTTCTCACTCAGTAGCAACAAAGTAACAAGGACATGCCACACATTATTATATCACTATGCAACAGCAAAACTACTACATATAGGCACGCTACATCACTAACATCAGCCCTTTCTACCTCACACTTTTTACTTACAAAAGTTCACAACAGTTCAAGAATCTTCTCTTTTCTCTAGGTGTACTAGTCTACAGGAGGTTAAAAATCACAAGATTTAACTTCGCAGTCTGATTACATGTCTGGAGCATGTTGCTATTTTCCCATGTGCTGCCAGAAAGCTCTTGAAGTTTAACCCCACATGAACATTCTTTTACACTTGGTACATTTGAAGGGAACTCTGCTTTCCTGGGCTGAATTTCTGCATGTGTGTCTGTCCAAGTGGGCTTTACCGATGAAGCATTTACAGCAAGTCTGACACACGGTCTGTGCATGTTCCCTGTGCAGTCCCAAGCTGCTGGTGAGGTTGCCACACTTCAGGCAGCCCTGGTGCTTCCTGTGCCTGCGCTGGTGTCTAGTCCAGTCCTGCCAGTGTGGACACTGCTGAGGAGCCTTCAGTGGGAGGCCTTTTTTCACATTCTCCTTGCGTTGGTGTGCCTGGTGGTAAACATGATGTCTTTTGGTGGTGGTACAGGTTCCCTGGTGGTAAACATGATGTCTTTTGGTGGTGGTACAGGTTCCCTGGTGGTAAACATGATGCCTTTTGGTGGTGGTACAGGTTCCCTGGTGGTAAATGTGATGTCTTTTGGTGGTGGTACAGGTTCCCTGGTGGTAAATGTGATGTCTTTTGGTGGTGGAACACTCCCCCTCCTGCCAGCCTCTCTTCCTACTTTGCTTTTTACTCAGCTGCCTTTTGGGGTCATTAGAGTTCATTGACCTTTGCTCTTTAGGGTCATCAAGGTTTACTAACATTTGTTTTCTGGGGTCAACAGAGTTCCCTGACCTTTGCTCTTTAGGGTCATCAGGACTCCCTGACCTTTGATCACCCTGACCTACACCTGGAGGACTGCCGGATGCTGGTTGGTTCACACAGCCATGGTTGTGCCTTATATGGTCGTGGTTGTGCCTTATATGGTCGTGGTTGTGCCTTATATGGTCGCTGTTTGCTGTGACCATCAGGAGCTTGTGCCTCCCATTGGTGGAGAAAAGTTGGGACAGGTTCTGTAGACAGGTCATGGCCTGGTTCATTGGTTCTGCTAAAGCAGGCTCCTGAGGAACAGTGTCCTGTTTGCAGCCTGGGTCTACAGGCTCCTGAGGAACAGTGTCCAGTTTACAGCCTGGGTCTGCAGGCTCCTGAGGAACAGTGTCCAGTTCACAGCCTGGGTCTGCAGGCTCCTGAGGTAGTTCATCTACTGACACAAGGTTATAGTCTAGGTTTGCAGACTCCTGAGGTAGTGTCTTTATTGAGCCGAGGTTATATACTGGGGCTTCCTGCATTGTGTCCCTGGACCCAGGGTGGTAGCCTGGTTCTGCAGGCTCCAGCAGTTCCAGGTTGAATGTTGGATTTTCCTTCCCCTCCGGCCTGTCGTCTGCAGGCACAGCCTCCTCCCCTGCCTCAGGCGGATCTCCCCCCTCCTCGTCGGCGCTTGGTTCGGCCCGTTCCTCGCTGCTGTCGGAGTCGAGCAGGTAGTCTGCGACCAGGTCTCCGAGGGCGACGAGGCCGACACGGCGCGCGCCGTGCAGAAGGTCGCGGGCGGCGCGCTCGTCCGACAGGAACAGCTGAGACGTGTACATGTACTGCAGCAGCGCCGAGAACGTCGCAGCGCCCATCCGCTCCAGGTGGTAACACGGCTCGGGCTGCCCGTTGCTAGGCAACACGCTACTGTTGCTAGGCAACAGCAGGTGGTGGAAGTACACGCTGTTGGCTGCCAGGACGGCCCGGTGACATCTGCAGGGGAAGGGCAAAGGTCATGAAGGGGAAAGGTCAGGACTGCAGGTGTAACAGGTAAGTTTAAAAGACAGGTGTAACAGGTGTAGCAAACAGTAAGTTGTAACATACATAGCGAGTAGGATTAACAGGTATAACAGACAGGTGTAACGTGTAGCAAACAGGTGTAACGTGTAGCAAACAGGTGTAACGTGTAGCAAACAGGTGTAACGTGTAGCAAACAGGTGTAACGTATAGCAGACAGGTGTAACAGACATGTGCAATGCGTAGCAGGGGTAACAGGTGAAGCAGACAGTTCTAACATGTGAAACAAACAGGTGTAACAGACAGGTGCAACTCACCTGAACCTGGTGCCGGCTACCGAGATGGTGACGTCGCAGTACAGGTTGTGGTGTCGGGAGGCGTTGAGCTGTCTCAGCGCTGTCTGTGGGTGGAACAGCGGCGAATCTCGCCAGACAGACATCCTGCCTGCTGCTGCTCTCCTGTTGACAGGAACACATTATTCAACATTATATCCTGCTATTATAGCCCAACTAGCTCTATACCTGAAAGGGTTAGGGTTAGGATCAGGCACTGTTCTGGATATATCCACATATACAAGAACGTATATTTGCCACAGGCACGGTTCTGGATATGCATATTTGGACTATTCAGGACTGTGCCTAAGCATATGTCAGGATAAAGCATGGTTCTGGTTACAACAGATACTAGAAAGTCATAAGGGAGGCACAGCTCAAACCAGTAAGCAGTCAACAGCCCCTCCTGGATGGTTCGTCCTAACTCGTCTTTTTACACCTCTGATCTATCCACAATATACATGTATATAACATCAGGACTCTTCCATTTTGACACTGGGGGAGGGGGGATTCCACCTGTCCTCTACTGTAGCCATGGCTTTTGCTGTTTGTATATACAAACCCAATTTTGCCTGAGTTACTGTAAATTCTCTACCAACTACAGGCCTCATTTTTGCACCTACACAACCCAGTAAACTTCAGCCCTCTGCGAACAGTCATGATATAATAACCCAATTCTTCATCATTCTTATTGCTGTGCCCCCCAATCCCCAATGGATGATCGACACCAACCTGAATCCTAATGAATGACCGACACCCCCTTGAATCCCAATGGAATGACCAACACCCCCCTGAATCCCAGTGGAACGACCCACACCCCCCTGAATCCCAGTGGAATGACCGGTGCCCCGACATGCCAGCTCCCATCCATCCCCCTGCCTGCATGAATAGCTGAAGGCCTTGAGCTGAGACCTGACTAATCCAGTCCATCAGCAGCATAATTGCTTCTGAAAGGCAGATGAAACTGCAGGTTGTTTGCTGCAGAGTAAAACCTTGAGGCAGAATCCCTCCGGTCCCATCCACAACAGCCTGAATAGCAGAAAGGCCTTGAGCTGGATACATTATTATCCTGGTTTATCACTGGCTAAATTGGATCTGAAAACAGAATAAAACTCTCCAGTTGTCTGTTGCAGAGTGAAACCTTGAGGCCTGTGCTATATGCAGGTGGCTAAGTCTCTACCAGACTAACTATGCTGGCTATATAACAGGAGAATATTTGCCAGGGGAGTTTGGCCGCCTTGTAGGTTTGACCGGTCCCGCAGTTGAGACTACCTCCCCGCTGCCGGACTGCCTTGGCCAATTTTACTCTCTTTTTTGCCGAATTCTACAATCCGTATTCCAGTAGAAAGGCCTGGTGGAGGCTATGCAGGTAGAACTACACCAGGTATGGGGGAAACCTTGAGTCTGACTCCCAACTGACACTGTCACACCTGCCAACTGTTTTAACACACAGGAGTTCTCCTTGACTGGAGGTTCAGACAAAGGGAACACGTCATGACAAATAAAACATCCGAGTGGAGACACTGAACACAACAAAAGGCTTTACACACAACAGCCAGCTGTGTCCATATAACGTTAACGTTACACCCAGTCAAGCTAGAAAACCTGTTTTTGTACTAAATTAATGTCTGAAATGCACACACACACATGGGTTAGCAAATTATATCTGAGGAGATTTAAGGTCATTTTATTTGAGCAAAACTTTTAATTAAAAAAAATGTTTTAGGACGGGAACCTAGAGAAAGAGGCACCATAAGACTTTATACGAACAACTTCATAAACCTTTTTGCTTAATACTTTACACTTACAGGACACCAAGGACATAGACACCAACCATCTCTAGTTTTAAAGTGTTACAGATGTGCACAGCAAGGGGAAATAATGCACTTACTCAACATTGTGGGAAAAAAACAACAAATGTGTACTGTAGTGCAAAAACGACCTTAAACCTCCCATCTGCTTGGCGTTAAGCCCGTCCGCCCATATACCACACACACACACAGTGACACACACAGGCAAAGGCACTACTGTCTAACGTAGGAATGCTCGCCTAATCTACATCTAGCGTGCCAAAATGTTCTTTTGGACCCTTCCAAAATAAAAACGCAGTGCGGACGTTTGCAGAGCTGTGCAGAAAACGGAGATTTCGAAGCGAAACCAACCTTAAAACCAACCTTACCTTGCTTTGTCCGGGTTCGGATGAGCAAAATATACCACAGCATCAAAACGCTACAAGGATTTACCGTGTTTAAATCCATATATACCCGATTCATGCATTATATATCAATCAACTGACTTATTAAATTTTACAAATTCTAAAACGTTTAACACAATTATTCATTTTGGCGGAATTTTGTTTAGATGTGCTTTTTTTAAATCTAAGTTCTGCGTTAAAACGTTACATGTGGCAGCGTTCTTACCGTGAGGTGAGAGGTTATCCTGCTGACGTCAGGGCTGCGTTCTGCCGTGCTGTGTTGGAAACTTTCCCGCTAAAAACTGCCGAAAATCGCCGCAGAAACCGAGAATGGCGGACAGATACAACATCCACAGTCAGCTGGAGCATCTGCAGTCCAAGTACGTGGGCACGGGGCACTCAGATACCACCAAGTGGGAATGACTGACGAACCAGGTGGGACGCTTTGTCTGTACACTTCAGCCCCCCTCCCACAAGCCTGCATGGGGGGCCGGCATGCCCTTTTTCGTAAGACGTAACCAGGCCTTTTCAGTCTTCGTAATCCGTAGGCAGCCTCCCCAAAAATTAACGTAATCCGTAATAGTACATTAGCCGCAAAGCGTAAAGTCGGAATCAGCTCTGAGACTTTAACGTAATTCGTAATCGGCGGCGAAAATCTTGCGTAAAATTATTCGTAAATCACTGCAGTTATTCGCTGTACATGTAGTTAGACCACCCAGTACTGAGGCCATGTCTAATCATGCTAGCTCCACGGTCTAATCGGGAAGGAACCAGAGATACAACCGGCACAGGTGGGGGGAAAGTAGCCCTTTATCTGCCCCCCCACCC